ATAGTTGTTCATTACCCCTCCCCATGCTAACATGCCATATATAAGATGGGGTTGTACTAAAGCAAAATATAAAAGTTTCATTTGTTTAACATCTAATATATCTCGGAAAAATTTAAATTTGCTTAAAAGACATCGCAATTTTTTAACAACGTAGTCAATATGATGATTCCATTTTAAATGTGAATCAATAAATATACCTAGATATTTTATTTTATTTGTTATATTTATATTTACTATTTTTTCAGCTATATTGATCAATTATAATTTGTTGTTTTCGATTTAATAAATAACTCGACATTTTCAACTGAAAAAAGTTTGGAACAAAAAGAAAGAATACAAATAAAAACAAATAAGTGAGTGTAGTTCTGTTATCTGTATGTCTACTGACCAGAAAAAAAGCACATAATTGAATTTAATATTTTTCATGGTATTTATTTAAGTTTAATTTACATATTTGTATAACAAACAAGTATAATGTTCATACTTGTTTATATAGAACAATATATATAAAACAATAAGTAAAAATAAATAAACAAATAACACTTTTCTTTTCTTTTCTTAACTGTTTCCTGTTTATAAAGTTTCCCTTAGTCCCTACTTCTTTATATGTCATACTTCTTATGAAGATGTTAGCAAAAGTCACTAAAATGGGACGTTTCAGCGACCCAACTGCATTATTAACATAAAAATCGCAATTAATACTTTCCTCCCCGGAATCCTAAACGGGCGGTGACGGATTAGTTTTCCTGGGAGCGGGGTTGTTCACCTACATGTTTGAAAAGCGGTTACCAGAGCGACCAAATTGATCAAATACAAGATAAGTTTTCCCGCATGGCCGGCGGTTTTCTTTTCACTGTGTCTGCGGCGGCGGCGGAAGGCTCGCCAATGAGGTAATTCCAGTGTAAAATTAGTTTATTAATTATTTTTTTAACGGGTTGTTCGTCGAGGCAACAGGTAAGGGGATGTTTGTGTCACCGTTAGATTGCTTTCCCGTCACACACGACTGTGCACCGGTCCTTATAGTTTTTGTGTAGATGTCATCAATGGTATGCGACAGTATGCGAGTAGATTGCTATTATTAACAGTTTCACTCTCAAATGTAGAACCGTATTCGAAGGTCATTAACAGGTAGAGGTTTTGAATGGTAATTTAGCTTTAGCAAAGCGCAAAATAACAGAATATCCAAATTGGCTAAAACATAGCAGCAATATCACTTTTTCTCAAATTTCCAGGGCATATTTGTTAAAAAAAATCAAAATTACTTTTAAAGAAGCGTATCTAACACCTGTATGTTAGATGTAAAATAACGTCCCTTTATTGGTCTAACAAAAAAATGCTGATACAATTACTCAAAAACAGGCACGAAATATCGTACATGAGTTGCAATTTTAAGAAAGTTGTCGTTTCCAAAAAATGCGCAGTCTGAAGACCCATTTTATAAGAAATACTTTTTCTCAGTCTATTTAATATATTTGGCGTTCAATTGTTTTTTATCTACCGCGTTAATGGCCTGTGCATCTACAAATTGCGAATTAATTGACTGTTTGCTTTTAATTTTCTAGAGTATGTGCTAATAATTTTTTTTAGCAATAAAAAAATTATTATTATTTGTTACCAGCATACGTTTGCACTGGTTAGATAGAGCAAAATGCAGGCCATTTCAAAATACCACTTTCATTATGTAATAGGTAAAGACTGCAATCTAAAATACTTTACATTTCTATTTGTTCTGATATGTCACATTTTCACTGGGAAATCGAGAGAAACGTACCTAACAGTCGTAGTGAAACTATTTGAAAAATATTGTTTTCCCATAGTAACTAAGAACGTTCAAGTGAAAGACGTCACGATTGGTCTGAAATATTTTTTTCAGGAAACACCTCCATCCACATAAATAGTAATAGATGACATTCATTTTTCACTTTTATTGATTTATCGACAAAGGTTTTAGAGAAAGAACAGCTGCAATTCTATAATTCAGTTCTCGACATTTCTGCTACTAGAAATCATTTTTAAAGTGATTGCAGGAAAAAACTAATTTACTACCTAAATTCATTTACAATTGTGTATCCATATTCATTTAATTAATGTAATAACACGTACTTTATTGGAAAAAATATAAAATTCTGTATTCACAGTCAGATATTATTTTTATTCTTTATTACAAGAAATATTACTTTTAATTATCCTGGCTGTCACTTACTAAAATGTTTTTTTAACGTAGGTACTGTATCAAATAAATTAATATATTAAGGCATTTGATACACCAACTATAGCCGTTGAAACAGAACATTGTGTTTTAATATAATCTAGATCTTTTTGTTTTAATTTAACCGAAATTTATTTGCCAAAGTGAAGGAAACAAAATTACTGGTCATGTGGCTCGTAATTATTTACAAAAGGATCTGGAGGATGTCTGAATATAGAATAGACTCAAATAAATACATAGGTACCTATGTATTAAATGTATTTTTTAACGTATTTAGATCATTTTTGAATAAGGCCATACATTTTCTTACATATAAACACCCTGTATAAAAATGTATAAATTAATTTTATAACCATCATTTGGGTCAAGGCTTCAAAGTTACTATGAAGGTCACACATACCGGTATATATTTATATGGTTCGCATATGTGACTCTGAAAGTGTATACGATTGTGCAGTAGCAAATTTGTCGTAGTATAAATATTAATTAGATTTGTAACCTTAATTTCCTTTCATTCAATAGAACCCATTGGCAACAAAGTAAGCCGAGTCCTTGAACTCTGTAAATGGTACCTTCATCAAGTGTTATTAATTACCCAGCGTGGTAAAACAGAATAAATAGTGATTACAAATCAGCTAGAATAGAAAATTGTGATAAATGAGACTAACATTTCTTACACAATTACCTTTAACAGCATAAATTAACTGTGTAGGTACATTTTTATATTATTTCAGAGTACCTATCTCAGACATTCAATACTCAAATCAAATAAATACCTATTTAAATCCGAATTTGTTTTCGATATTAATTTTTATGTTTTGGGCGACTTAGTATATGTCTCTTTTGCGAGATAAGTTAGAAATGAAGTAAAAACCGTTTTTTTTTACTTTTCGACATAAAATAATTAACTGATGACTTTAGTGGATCCCATGGTTATCGAGCTGTAAAGCGAACATATACAGGGTGTCCCAAACAGACCTGAACCCTCCAGATTCCTTTTCAGAATTTAGTTCCATCAAAAAAAGTTTAGAATAAAAATTGTAGGATATAAAGAAATATGCTGGTGCATATTTGATACTGACCTTAAAGTCGAAGGTCAAACTAAGGTCAACGGAAAATATTAAACGAAAAACCCTATTTTTGATGTATTAAGTACAGTCGCTTTCTACATGGATAAGGTGTATTTTAATTATTTAGAAGCTCCGTTTTGTGTCAACGGAATTTACCAGTAGGTAACTGAAAAACGTTCACTAACAAAAAATTCGTGTCGATATATAAAAGAAATTAGAGTATTAATTAATACTCACTGTATTGATCTTGGTCACCTTTGTGGCATAGACAAAATTGAACTTGGAACGATTAAGAATAAACATCTATTGGCACGGAACAACATTAGATTTCACTCCACATACATTAACAAAATTATTAATAACTAATATTTCTCGTAATAAAATTTTAGCTTACAGTTATTGTAGTAATGGTAATAAATTGTTAAGCAGATGTGCGAAATTAAATTCAATGTCCACTTTTAACCGCTCTATGTCACTAGTAGAGCGGAAGAAACTACAGTGGGCCAAAGAAAGAGGTAACGCTCAAATAGATACATCTCTATTTAATCTTACGTAAAACTATTTTAGAAGAACTAGCCTCGTTATGTGGTCCTTGGGGTCCGCCAGACCAAGATAATCAAAAACCGTTTGGAAGGTAATAAAATACAACTAGTTAAACTTAGAAAACTGTGCCTTATGAAGTACAGACAGTTGAAGTTCAATGTTAATTTATTATTATTTATCGAATCAATTTTTCCAATAGCATTGAACTTAAAACCCAGTAACTGTTCTGTCACGGTTTTCTTGTTGGTAATACCTTGAAGAGTAAACAAATTTTTCAGAACCAGATATGAACCAAAAATTTCAATGGTCAATAACGCCAGTCTAAAACGGGAATATAAAGAAAACACGAGAAGGGGCAGTTTGCCGCCGCTTTACAAAAATCAGTACAATTCGTACGATAGATACGAAAGAGAAAAAGAACTTGGTGGTGAGACTTCCGGTTATGGGAGCGACAATCCCAATCAAACTCCAGACTGTGTTCCGTCAAACTGGCACCAATCCGGTTATGAATCTTCTTCCAGCAGAGACGACCGGCCCAAATGGGGAGACAAAGGCGTTGGAGTGGGGAAATTCTGGCAGCCCAAAGAGGAGCACTTTGAAAAGAACCACAACGAACCACCCAACTGGGTCAAAAGAGGGCTGGAGGACGGTGAAATTGTCGTCTCCAACACATCGCCAGCGGAATCACCAGAACAGCGGTATGAAGAACACGAAAGGCCATGCACAGGATCTACTCTTTCCCATCATCGGTAAGATACAATATACGATTTAAGAAAAATGTATTTGTAGTATGATAAAGTAATATCTTATTTCAGGAATACATATATCAGAGGCCAAAATATTCCAATAGACTCGGTTGAACTGGCAGACAGAGAGAGAAGAAGACAAGTCGCCATGGCTCATCAAGAAGCAATACGTCAGCAGTTGGAAGAAAGAGAAAGAAAACGTCGGGAGGAACGCGAGAAGAGAATAAAAGAAGAACGTGAGGAGGAACTGAGGATCGAGAGGGACCAGGAGATAGAACGGCAAAGGAAAGAAAACGAACTTCGGCTAATCAGAGAAAAACAAGAAAGGGAAAGAAAGAGGAAGGAAGCTATCCAAGAAGCGATAGCATTGGCTCAGAAAACCGCCGAGGAGGAAAGATCTAAAAAATTGAATAAGCAAATTTGCAAAAATAGAAACATTATGGAAAACATTACAGACAAAGATAAAATGTCAACAGTCGAGGAAACTGCTCCCAACAGAAATATCGATGTAAATGACAATCTCAAAGAAGATGAAAAGAAAAACAATAACTGTGATCAGCTAAACAACACTCGAAATATTACTCCCAAAAATGAGATATTGAGCAATGAAATTAACAATAATTTAGAAATTAGAGGAAAAACTTTGGAATCCCCTAGATCCTCTAAAGAACTTATAATTGACAATAAGTTGCCTATCCCCACACAAAGGGAGACTGACGATGTGCCATCCAACAACAGTAACAGTAATATTTTGTATAATACCATTCCATCCGCCCAGCTGTACACCCCAAGAGCTGAAAACTTAGCATTAGTTATTCCCGCACCATTAGATGCTTTACAGAATGTGCAGTATGCACTATTAGTACCTGCTACCCCGCAAACATTACCCATAACAGTGCCTATAACTACTGTACCTCAAATAGATCGAGGTTGTAACACCTCAAGAACAGAAAACAGGATCCTAACTCCAACACAGTACAGAAACAGGAACAGAAGAGTGTGCGACAGTGCTACACAAACGGAAGATTTCGACTTCGGTAGATTTGAGGCTGTCGATAATAAAGAAAAATACATAAGAGAAAAACTCACCAACATCGAGTTGATGTATGACAATAGAAGAAAAGGCAGAAGAAGCAGGAGCGAAAGTTTGGAGGAAAGACCGAAGTGGGGTGCTAACAGACCTCCTACTAGATATTTAAAACAAAGCGAGAAAGATCCTTTGTACCAAAGACGAAAACTACGGCAAAAGATGAGAGGCAGTAAAATATATGACGATAAAAATTCTAGCGACGAAAGTCAAACAGCTACCACACCAAGACCGTACAGGAAGAAAAGTTACATGGGGGAAAGAAATTCAAGGCCACTTTGGAGAAAGAAAGATCAGTTATTTACAAGAAATATCCGCATGTACCAAACGGAAATCGTTCCACTTGAATCCGACAAAGACCAGATTTATTATAAGAGACACGAGTGTTGCTGTGTATGCAGATGTGACAGGCGTAACAGTTCAGGAGATAATATCAAAGTAGACATACTGAGAATCGAACAAATATCTCCTAGGGAAAATTTACAGTATAAGCCAGAACTCTTAGAGAGTTCCGAAAGGCTACCTAATTGTAATGCAGACGGCAGCAACGACGATATCTTGGATAAACTGTCTTCTTTGCACACTGGTTTGTTACAAAAGCAAGAACAGTGGGAAAACTGCCCGGTTACTCCAAATTTGTCACCACCTAATAAGAATTAAATCACACTTATATAGCTGCGGTATTTTATAAGTACCTCGTACGAGACAATATACAATGTACATTTTTTTAATACATTTTTTTATTCTTTATTGACATTTCTTATGTTATTTTGTGATCGTAGAGTAAAAGATGGCGAAACTAGACGATTTCTTATCCAAGAAAAAGGAAACTGCCCCAATTCTTGACTTGTCCAAAACCACCGCCAATTCCAAAGAGGAATTCAAGAAGCTACTAGAGAAGGTTCCCGATTTCAAAATAAGGACTGAACGTGTACCAGACCACATAAAAATTAAAGATAAACATTTCAAGTTTAAGTCTGGCAAAAAAGATATAAAAGCTATGAAAGAGAGATATACTTTTATGGATCCCTTGCCAGTAGAAATGAAAAATTTGAACATTGATGACCTAGCGGCAGTTTCAATTGACTGGAAAATGTTGACAACCCTTCGTCCTAAAAGTAAGGCGGAGGAAAACTATTTTTCAAGGTATGTATATTTGGAAGTGATGTAAAAATTAATGCATTTTATGCAACCAATTATGCTGGGTTTCAATATATTTCAGGAGACACATTTTCCTCGCTGTCGCCTAACACTTAAATGTAGGAAAAAACATTCTTAGTTTTAGGTTGACACTGTTCGACGGCCCCCTGGTCAATTTTTTTCTCAAACTCATATTCTTTTTTGAATAGAACCATCAGCTGTAAGACTTTCTTCCATTTTTCTCAGCGTTTGATATATGAAAAACGAATGGTATTAGGCCATTTTATAAAAATATTCGTAAATTGTTACATAAACGTTGTTAATTTCGACAAAATTACTTTGGATATTATCATTTTGAAAAAAGAAGTTCTGAAAACTCTTCGCTAACTTCATCCGTTTTTTTTAATATATCAAGGCATAAAACTTCAGTAAATTATGTATTTCCAAATATTACCATCTCGAATAAAAGCTGTTTTGGAGAAAAGAAAATTACCCGAGTGCCACCACCATACTTTTGAGTTGCTGGCATTGAAAATAAAAATAAACTTTCACCCTTTTTTCTAACAAAAAAGAATTGAAATAAAAAACATCAAGAGATTAAAAAAATTGGGGGTCAATTTCTATACACTCGAAATTATTTAAATGTTTCTAGATTGGTAGAGCTCGGTAAACTTCAAAACAAGAGCAGAACCCAAGAAAAAAAGCAGTTTCAGTCGGATTCTCAGATCAAGAAAATAAAAAATAAGTCTGGCGTGATTGAAATGAGAGTCGTCTCTTGTTCCGAATGTGGTGAAGACTTTTGTAATGGCAAGTACTATTTCAAATTATATTTGAAACGTAGTAATTACTTTACCGCAGGTAAAAGTTGCACCAAGTTTGGGTACGACTCGTTCGTACGTATCCCAGAAGTGCCAGAAGTATCCCAGAAGACAGTTTCTCCCGATTCTGTAAGCAAAATTAAGAGGAAAGTGAAAAGGCGATCCCATTCTAAAACTAAAAGTAAAAAGAAAAGTAGCGGCAAATCAAAGTCCCCGAAGAGAAGTCCATCCAAAAGTAGCAAGAAGTAAATTTATTTTATATACCTATGTATAAATATAAAGATTAATTTAGTACATATTTGAATGTTATTTTTATTTGTGTAAAAGGAAAATGTGGGGCAATAAACAAACAATAATTTTTTATTAAGGAAAAAACAAAATATGCACTCAATTCATATTATACAGTAAGATTCTGCAAAAAAATCATTCCATATCCTTGAATTTCACTAATACCTCTTTAAATTTATCTATTACTACCTTCTCTATTTTAGATACTTTTATGTATTCAATGGTAAAAGTCTTCTTCATTTTCTCGAAATCTTCCTCCAGTTTTCCAATATCTCTTTCATAATCTGCAATAATTTTGCAGTTTCTGTTAGATTCATTCTGACGGCTATTTTTCATGTCACTAAGTTCTTGAGAAAACTGGGCTATAGTAGTGGTATAACTGTGTTTAAGAACTTTATGTTCACTTTGCAGATTTATCAATTTTTCTTTTAATGATGCTAATTTCTGCTCGTTTTCAAATTTCTGTTGTTTCGCAGGATTTAATTTAATAGCTGTTAATTTATCTGCAGTATTAGATATAACTTTAAATTCGTCTTCTTTGTGAATTAGTTTTTCTACGATCTTCACATCAAATTCACATTTATTGAGCATCCTGATGCAGTCTGCATTATGTTGTAATACTTTATTTTCCTCTACCAAACCATCATCAATGTTAATATTGTTATTATATAACATTTCCAACTCGCTCTTCAGTGTTTCAATAGTCTTCTGGATATTCTGATATTCTCTCTCAGTTACTAGTTGCTTTAAGAGATTATTTTCCTCATCTTCAAGACATTTTAACTCGTACTCTTCATTTTGTAATTCCCGCTTAAGATTTTCTATTTGCTTTCTCTTTTCAGCATACAATTTTTCTTTTGTGGCTTTCAACATCTTCATTTTTTCATAAGCGGTTTTAGTAGATTTAAGCTCTTGCTCAAGTAAATTTTTATTTTCACTTAATTCTGCTTTGTTTTTTGCAATCTCATTAATTTCATCTATTAGCTCGTGCTGCTCCAATAAAAGTTTTGTTGTATTTTCTTGGGTTGTATAAACTTCATTTCCCAATGTTTCTGCTTCAGTCAGCTGACATTCTAAGTATCTTATGAAATGTATACATACTTTAAAAAAGCTTCTAGTACTTCTAGGTTTTGGCTCATAGATATCTGCTATTGTTAACTTTAGGCCACTAATTTTTCCCAGAAGTTTTGATAATTCCAGAACCAGCAGTTCCTCCTGTTCATAATCTGCAGAATTAAAGTTAAAAATCGGAGGACTTCTTGTTAATTGTGCAATCTTTTCATTATAGTCATTTATGAAATTACTATAAAATTGAAAAACTACCTCTGGTGTAGGTTGTAATAAATTTTCTTTTGAAATAACGAGTTCAGGCCAACACCTTTTTATGTCACTCAACATATCTTCTACTTCGCTCATTGTTCTGATTTCTGAAAGATTACATTATATTATTGAAACTATTGAAAACTCTATAATCATCTCATCATACCTCTGCAAACTTGTGTCTATAATTTTTGTTGCAAAAAGAAATAAAACCGTTTTTTCAAACTGCTATCAAACATCACAACACTTCTTCACTACTCGGCCGATAAGAAAAACAGATGTAGTGAGTTCACGATTAGTGACACTACGACTAATGTCGGGTGCATAGAAATAACAAAAAAATGCTTGCAATATTTCTTTATATTTTAATGTAACACTCATAAGATTATTTCAATTAACTCAGCAATTGAATTTATTGCAATTTGAAATGAACTTTTTCTTTATCACAGATATAAACATTACGAACTGTAACTCTGTGGTAAGTTGGAATTGAATTTCGGAACAAATTCTTGGTATATACAGATTTAAAAAGGTGACCTAACCTCAATCTATAGTTTTTGATTTCGTTTCGTCATTCGTTGTTCCCGCCAATCGTTTTGTTTATTTTGTTGAGGGTGTTTTAAGATTTTTATTTTTTTTTTAACGACAACAATAATGTACGTAAAAATTAGAAAATTGGGTGCACTGCAGGGTGAAGGTGATATAGTAATAAACATATCTAAAATGGCTTTAATTCAAGAACTAAGACAAATGATAGAAAAGGATATTCAAGTTGTACCCGAACAACAAATGCTTTTGTATAAAGGAAAGCAGGTAAAATCTTTGATAATATGCAGTTTTATATTTTATAAAGAGTATACAAATTTTATAGTTAATAGACGATCATCGTGTAATGGACTATGATATCAGTTTAAACGATGTGATACAATTAATCGTACGATCACAAAAACCATTAACAGAAGGATTAGAAGAAAAAGAAGTTGACAAAAAGGAAGACAATAATGTTGATAATAATAAAAGAATTATAGATGCACAAAGTAAGTTTTACAAAGTAGAGGACCTTATCGATGTTCGACTAGAGGAAAACGGAGCATGGTACGAGGCTGTTATTTCAAAAATTTTTACAAAGGGGCTGAATAATGAAAACACACCCGAAGAAAGCAACTTAATATTTAAAGTGAAAGGGTAACTAAGCTTTAATATAACCAATTCTTATTTTTAAGTTGCATTAATTTCAGTGCTGAGCATGTAATAACTTTCGAAGGAGAGGCGAGTTTTATCGACATAAGACCCAGATCATACTATACTTACAAGACATCTGAGCTAGAAAAAGGAATGACTGTATTAGCTAGTTACAATATCGAGGAAACTAAAAGTAGAGGACCTTGGTAAGAAGTAAGAATGCAATTTTGCTTGAATTTCTGATTATATATTTTCAGGTATGATTTTAAAGTGGAAGAAGTATCACCAGCCTCTGTAACTGGTACTATTTTGGTGGGACGAGATAGAGCGCCTATTGAGAACTGTTCGATTAAGTTTGTAGATGAAATTATGAGAATAGAGGAACCAGTACCACTAACTGAGAGAAGCGATGTTCCAAAGCAAGTACCAAGTAAGAATATTATAAAGTGTTTTGTTTCCAGCTAATATACTATGTTGTCAGGGAAATATCCATATAATTGTGATAAATGTAAAGATGTCCCAGGTAGAAAGTGTCGTGAATGTGGTTGTAGAGTCTGCGCTGGGAAAGAAAGTTGTGACACGATGATTTTGTGTGACGAATGTGATTATGGTTACCACATCGCGTGCTTAAGTCCCCCTCTGGAATCGGTCCCAGAAGAAGATGAATGGTAATATTTTGTGTCGAATATTTCACAATCTTCACATTTAGATAATATCATTTTAAGGTACTGCCCAGATTGCAAAACGGATGTTAGTGAAATCGTCAAGGCAGGCGAGAAACTAAAAATCAGCAACAAGAAAGCCAAGATGGCCAGCAATAAGGGCGAATCTAGTAGGGATTGGGGCAAAGGAATGGCATGTGTTGGAAGAACGAAAGAATGCACCATAGTGCCCAAAGACCACTACGGTCCTGTACCCGGGGTCGAAGTCGGCACTTGCTGGAAATTCAGATTGCAGGTAAAAAAATTTCGTTTCTCATGGAACAGGCTTTTCATGTTTATATCATTTTATACAGAATACTCATAGAAGAGTATTATTCTATTATATTTCCCGTAGGCGTCAGAAGCCGGTATTCACAGACCACATGTAGCGGGAATACATGGTAGGGAGACGGATGGAGCCTACAGCCTCGTTCTAAGCGGAGGCTATGAGGATGACATTGATAACGGTGAAGAATTTTATTACACGGGATCTGGCGGTAGAGACCTTTCAGGAAACAAAAGATGCAGTGAACAAAGTTGCGACCAGAAATTGACGCGAATGAATAAGTGAGTAAACCACTTTTAAACTTCATTTTTCGGAAACAAAATCTCTTTTGTAGGGCACTGGCTTTGAACTGCAATGCTACGTTCAACGACAAGACTGGCGCCGAATCGAAAGATTGGAAAAAGGGCAAACCCGTCAGGGTAGTGCGCAACTATAAAGGTGCCAAACATTCCAAATATGCCCCTCAGGACGGGAACAGGTATGACGGTCTCTACAAAGTCGTCAAGTATTACCCCGAGAAAGGTAAATCCGGCTTCGTGGTGTGGAAATACTTGTTGAGGCGGGACGACCCGACACCAGCGCCTTGGGAGAAAGGCGGTCAAGAACTGGAAATGATTGTAAGCTTTATAGTTCGTAATTTAATCAATAATTAACGTGTTTTTGCCGTTTTTAGTACCCGCCCGGTTACTTGGAAGCCCAGGAAGCTCAGGGACAAAAGAAAAACAAGGAAAATAAATCGAAGAGCCCCGACAAGGCAAAGCGCGGGTCAAAAAGAAAGACACAAGAAGACGTGAAGCCTTTGACTGAATTTTTTAACACGCCGAAAAAGCAGAAGATGACAGAGTACAAGCTATCTTCTGAATTAGAAGAGTTAATTTCACTCGATAAGGGCAATGAGAAATTGTGGTCGGAATGTAGGGAGGTTCTGAAGGAAGGCAAGCAGAAGTTTTTGAGTAAAGTGGAGGAGATCTTCATGTGTATATGCTGCCAGGAGGTCGTTTACGAACCGGTGACGACGGAATGTAAACATAACATTTGCAAGGTATTTTATCATAAAGCTTTCGGATTTAATTAATTTTATTATTTACAACCTTAGGTTTTTCGTTTTTTCTTTTGAAATTTGAAATTTAGTGTATAAATCTAGGTAACCTAGAAATCCAGGAATTACATGCTCAGTATCAAGCTGCCATCTTCGTGAAAACATCTTTATTTGTTTCCATCGATTTAGGATTTATTTATAGGGTGCGGAGAAAGTTCTGTCAATTTTTTTGACATATTTCAACAGTGTAACAATACTGCATAAACAACTGAATCTACACAACTAAACTTTTATTAATTCAATAACAATAAATTAAAACAAAAACATTTACAATACATTTATGCAACCGCTTCCGAAAATTTCCTATGCTGCATTGCGTTTCGTCTTCCTGATCGTTTTGGCTCCATAATGGACCACATAGAGTAATCCAACAGATTGAGATCTGGCAAGTTCAGCAGCCGTTCGCAGACGCAATTGTTCACTGTTTTGTTGGAACTTGGAACATTTTTAAACTTTATCTGGAAAATATATGAAATTTTTTTTAGTTGAAAATGTGATATGGTGCAGAGCTTTCATAAATGACTACAAGCCACATCACCCAGTTTAGTCAAACAACATTGCACTGTCGACAAAAAGTTCCTAAGTTTTAACGCCTCAACATTAATGATTCGTTTACAATGAACGATGACAAACTGCTACGTTTACGTTCGAAATAATGCGTCGCCGATTGGTTGAATAAAATGTGAAAAATTACACCAATCTCCAGCCGATGAAACAGAATTTTACTTTTTAACATAACTTTGAGCTTATTGTTTTAGTCATTTTTAATTTTACCGAAAAACTGCCAACGCGAAGGAAATAAAATTATTGTTCCAAACAAAATTGCTGATCGTGTGGCTGGTAATCATGTGTGAAGGTTTTAGTCAAAGAAATAAAGCACTAAAAGCGGCCTTACCTCCGAAATCTGTACAGTAAGATGGATCGTGATGCGGTTTTTTGCATTCGATTCGTTGGAGCGTCCAGAACCCTTTGTGAGAAATGAGAAATGAAAATTGCATCGGTGCATAAGAAAAATGCATTTTTAAAATTGCATCTCAAAGAGTTAAAAAATGAAAAATTTATAACTCGGAAANGCAGAGCTTTCATAAATGACTACAAGCCACATCACCCAGTTTAGTCAAACAACATTGCACTGTCCACAAAAAGTTCCTAAGTTTTAACGCCTCAACATTAATGATTCGTTTACAATGAACGATGACAAACCGCTACGCCTACGTTTGAGATAATGCGATCGCCGATTGGTTGAATAAAATGTGAAAAATTACACCAATTTCCAGACCGTGAAACAGAATTTTACTTTTTAACATAACTTTGAGCTTATTGTTTGTCATTTTTAATTTTACCGAAAAACTGCCGTGAAGGAAATAAAATTATTGTTCCAAACAAAATTGCTGATGATGTGGCTTGTAATCATCTGTGAAGGTTTTAGTCGAGGAAATAAAGTACTAAATTCATTAGAACATACAGAAAGTTTGTGACCCTATGTGATCAGTGAGAAATGAAAATTGCATCGGTGCATAAGAAAAATGCATTGTTTAAATTGCATCTCGAAGAGTTAAAAAATGAAAACTTTATAACTCGGAAAATATTGACGGAAGTGAGTTCAGTTTTGCTATTCGGGGGTTTTTGGGGTCGCTGAACACGAATATCACGACGGCAACGGTCTCCGAGGTACCTNGCAGAGCTTTCATAAATGACTACAAGCCACATCACCCAGTTTAGTCAAACAACATTGCACTGTCGACAAAAAGTTCCTAAGTTTTAACGCCTCAACATTAATGATTCGTTTACAATGAACGATGACAAACTGCTACGTTTACGTTCGAAATAATGCGTCGCCGATTGGTTGAATAAAATGTGAAAAATTACACCAATCTCCAGCCGATGAAACAGAATTTTACTTTTTAACATAACTTTGAGCTTATTGTTTTAGTCATTTTTAATTTTACCGAAAAACTGCCAACGCGAAGGAAATAAAATTATTGTTCCAAACAAAATTGCTGATCGTGTGGCTGGTAATCATGTGTGAAGGTTTTAGTCAAAGAAATAAAGCACTAAAAGCGGCCTTACCTCCGAAATCTGTACAGTAAGATGGATCGTGATGCGGTTTTTTGCATTCGATTCGTTGGAGCGTCCAGAACCCTTTGTGAGAAATGAGAAATGAAAATTGCATCGGTGCATAAGAAAAATGCATTTTTAAAATTGCATCTCAAAGAGTTAAAAAATGAAAAATTTATAACTCGGAAAATATTGACGGAAATGAGTTCAATTTTGCTACTGGGGGGTTTTTGGGGTCGCTGAACACGTATATCACGACGGCAACGGTTTCCTAGGTACCTACTGCTCAAGGTGGCCGATTTCCACGTCGTCTCCTGGAGTTTTGTGGAAATTCGTTATAAACTTAGCCGAAACTCGTTACTTCGGGGTTTTTGAGGTTGCTCAACATGAATATCATGACGGTAATGGTCCTCGAGGTAGAAGAGGAGAAATAAAAAAAATAGAATTAAGAACATGAAAATAAATAAAAACATTTGTTATAATTGTTTATAAATAGACTTAACGTTTACTTCTTGATTTTAAACACCTATTAATAATTAAAAAGTATTAAAATTAATTTAAAATAAGTAAAAAAAGAGTATACAGTGACAAAAATCGGTACTTGTAATGATTTATACAGAAATTTCTTTTTTTAATTTTCAAAAATAAAAAAAATAGTAATTATGGAGTGCCAGCGACCAGACCGGTCCTAAAAGTTGTTAAAAGAATAGTAGTTTGAAATAAAATATTTTCACAAAAATCGAAAGATACACTCACTTTCAAAAATACGATTTAAAATTTCAAACTCAAAAATCTTCATCAAAAACACTGAATATTTTTTTTGTATTTTTATCTGTAAAGGCCATCCAAAAACAAAGATTAAAAAAAGCTTTAATTTGGACCATTATGAAGAAAGTTATGATCAAAAAACCAAAAAACGGAGAATTTTTTTGAACATTTTATATCTTTTGAACAAGTAATCAAAAAAATCTCAAAATTTACCAGAAAGGCTCTTTTGAGCGGTACTAAAAAATATCAAAAAATGAGGGAATCAAAAATCTAAAATTTTCAAACCGTCCGACGTCATTGATCTGAATTAAAATAATAGCTACCAACTGTATTAAAAGAGCCAAATTAAAAAAAAAATGTTTCAGATAATTTATTTAGATATTCGATAAAGCTTATGAAGATGACATCGGTACCTCGCGATTACCGTTGTGTAATGTTTATAATGAATTTCCACAAAACTCCAGGAAACGACGTGGAAACCGGCCACTCTGGGCATTAGGTACGTCGGAGACCATTGCCGTCATGATATTCGTGTTCAGCGACCCCAAAAACCCCCGAGTAGCAAAATTGAGCGTCGATATTTTCCGAGTTATAAATTTTTCATATTTTAACTCTTCGAGATGCAATTTTAAAAATGCATTTTTCTTATGCANATCCGTATATACTAGTATGTGGAAGAGTATATATTAGTATATATAGGGCGTTCCACGCCAAATCGGACGGTTTGAAAAATTTAAATTTTTGATTTCCTTAATTTTTTGATATTTTTTAGTACTCAAAATAACCTTTCTGGTAAATTTTGAGATTTTTTTAATTATTTGTTGAAAAAATATAAAATTTTCAAAAAAATCGCTCTTTTATTGGTTTTTTGATCATAACTTTCTTAATAATGGTCCAAATTAAAGCTCTTTTTTTAAATTTTTATTTTTAGATGGCCTTTACAGATAAAAATACAAAATATTCAGTGGTTTTGATTAAGATTGTTGAGTTTGAAATTTTAAATCATGTTTTTGAGTGTATTTTTCGAATTTTTTGAAAATTTTTGATTTCAAACTACTATTCTTTTAACAACTTTTAAGACCGGTCCGGTTGTGGGCCCTCCATAATTACTATTTTTTTTTTGATTTTTGAAAATTTGAAAAAAATTTTTCTCTATAAATCATTGTAAGTACCCATTTTTGTCACTGTATACTATTTTTTTACTTATTTTAAATTAATTTTAATACTTTTTAATTGTTAATAGGTGCTTAAAATCAATAAGTAAACGACTGGTCCTAAAAGTTGTTAAAAGAATAGTAGCTTGAAATAAAAAATGTTCACAAAAATTGGAAGATCTCGCTTTCAAAAATACGATTTAAAATTTCAAACTCAAAAATCTTAATCAAAAACACTGAATATTTTTTTGTATTTATATCTGTAAAGGCCATCCAAAAACAAAGATTAAAATAAAAAAACAAAAAAACGGAGCGTTTTTTTGAAAATTTTATATCTTTTGAACAAGTAATCAAAAAAATCTCAAAATTTTCCAGAAAGGCTCTTTTGAGCGGTACTAAAAAATATCAAAAAATTGGGGAGATCAAAAATCTAAAATTTTCAAACTGTCCGATTTGTTATAGAACGCCCCATATGTAAAATGTGGAAGCAGCGGCCAACGATCCTTACCTAAAATTTCATCAATGCTACCAACTGTATTAAAAGCGCCAAATAAAAAAAAAAATGTTTCGGATAATTTATTTAGATATTCGATAAAGCTTATGAAGATGACATCGGTACCTCGGAGACCATTACCGTTGTGATATTCATGTAGAGCGACCCCAAGAACCCCGAGGTAAGGAGTTTCGGCTAAGTTTATAACGAATTTCCACAAAACTCCAGGAAACGACATGGAAATCGGCCACTCTGGGCACTAGGTACCTCGGAGACCGTTGCCGTCGTGATATTCGTGATCAGCGACCCCAAAAACCCCCGAGTAGCAAAATTGAACTCATTTCCATCAATATTTTCCGAGTTATAAATTTTGCATATTTTAACTCTTCGAGATGCAATTTTAAAAATGCATTTTTCTTATGCACCAATGCAATTTTCACTTCACTCTAACGAATCGAATGCAAAAAACCGTATCGCGATCCATCTTACTGCATAGCTTTCGGAGGTTCAGTGTTTCCTTTCCTCGACTATTTTGGACAACCTGAAAATTAAATAATAATTTTAAAAAAATGTTTTCTTCTGCACTTGGTTTCTCTATATTTTCGAAACTTAAATACGTTATCTTTAGGCATGTCTGAAGAGGTCTTTTGCATCAGAAATTTTCAACTGCCCGTACTGCAGGCACGAGTTGGGAGAAAGCTACGATATGGAAGTGAATACATCTTTAGGAAAGGTTTTGAAACTGCTGTTCCCCGGTTATGAAGCTGCTAGATGATTAAGATCCTTAATGTTTTATTTTATGGTTAATAAATCATTGTTTTTATATTGTTGTATTGTTAGAACTTTTTTCGCATAAGTATATTTAAAATTAGTATCAAATTTAAATTTATCAATAGTCTGAAAAATATTTTTTATAATTATTGTATTGTATTTTATATGTATTTGACATGTGGCAAATAAATGTTAGCACTGCTTTTATTTTATGTTGTATTCTTCCAGCCTTCTCATTCAATTACTTCATTTGTTTATGCAAAGCCCTCATGTTTACAAGCTGCGTGACTGTCGAGCTTAGGCAACCAACATTACAGGTTGGTACTGGTAACGAAAATTCCCTAAATCTTGGTGACGCCAATATTAATGGTTCGTTTACAATGAACAATGACAAACCATTACATCTATGCTCGAGATGATGTGATTGCTGATTGGCTGAATAGAATCTTGTGTAAAATTACACCAATCTCTAGATGGCTAAACATATGTTGTGTTTCATAGTAATCTTGATCTTATTGTTTTAATTACACAGAGCAAAAAAATTTGACGAAAGATCACACCCAAAAACCAAACCTCACGTGCCCAAAGGTTTTTGCTGCGCAGAATACAAATCCGGCGTCAGAATTGCACCTATACGTCACGTTTCCGAGGTATCCTAACCTAAAAGTGCAAAAAACAGGTTTTTGAGCTTATATCAGAGAATTTTTTTTTCTAAAAACGAATCATGCCCTCTAAAACTACCACGCTTGCCTTCAAAACGCTTTGTTCATAATTGAATCTTTTCTATTCGCCGAGATATCATTGAATGAAGCTTGAATTAAATTGGCCCTAACTTTTTTGCTACCCTGTACATTGGCGTTTCGTATTAGTGCGTTTAATCAATCAATTTTAAGCAAAAGAGGTTTTGTGCTGAATTTTGAATCACCCCTGTTAGTACCTATACAAACATTTTTGGACTTCTCCTATACTATCATTANGTGGCAAATAAATATTAGCACTGCTTTTATTTTATGTTGTATTCTTCCATCCTTCTCATTCAATTCCTTCATTTGTTTATGCAAAGCCCTCATGTTTACAAGCTGCGTGACTGTCGAGCTTAGGCAACCAACATTACAGGTTGGTACTGGTAATGAAAATTCCCTATATCTTGGTGACGCCAATATTAATGGTTCGTTTACAATGAACAATGACAAACCGTTACGTCTATGCTCGAGATGATGTGATTGCTGATTGGCTGAATAGAATCTTGTGTAAAATTACACCAATCTCTAGCTGGCTAAACAGATGTTTTGTGTTTCACATGTTTCTTGATCTTATCATTTTTATTACACAGAGCAAAAAAATTTGACGAAAGATCACACCCAAAAACCAAACCTCACGTGCCCAAAGGTTTTTGGTGCGCAGAATACAAATCCGGCGTCAGAATTGCTCCTATACGTCACGTCTCCGAGATATCCTAACCTAAAAGTGCAAAAATCAGTTTTTTTTGCTATATGACAGATGTTTTTTTTTCTAAAAACGAATAAAACTACCACTCTTGCCTTCAAAACGCTTTTTTCATACCTATTTGAACAATGTTTTTTATTCGCGGAGATATCATTGAATGAAGTTAGGTACTTTAGCGTTTTTATAAAAGTGGTACTAAAATTGAAAAAGTTCTTCAGCTTGAATTAAATTGGCCCTAACTTTTTTGCTACCCTGTACATTGACGTTTCGTATTAATGCGTTTAAGCAATCAATTTTAATGCTGAATTTTGAATCACCCCTGTAAGTATACAAAAAATTTTGGACTTCTCCCATACTATCATTATCATTAACAAATGAATGTCAAAAACTGTAGAATTAAAGTCAACTGTATTTTTTTAATAGAACACCCTGCTCATTTTTATATATTTTGATAAGAGTTCTCTAAATGAATTATAATGATGTGAGTAGAGTTCTGACCAATTTCGGTTTTTTTAAACAAGTGAACAAACAAAAATATGACCAATATCAGTTCCCCCTTTTCCGATCTAACCAAACTTACAAGGAGAAGGTAAGGTAGTCGGATTTTTGTAATTTTTGATATTTATAGTACGTGTAGTTTGGACCTTGAATAAGAATTTTCCGAAGTATTTCGACGCAACGTTCATAAATTAGTAAATTACCGAGATAATCGATTTTGAAGTTTTACCTGACAGCTAAATCCACTAGATGTGACACATATTTCAACTAAGAGTGTGGCCTAATTGGTAACGTTCGGGAATGACAGTCACGAGGACGATGGTTCAAGTCCGTCGCGGTACATATTTTTTTTTTTTCAAAACGCACTATATGGTTTTTTATTATTTTTTTCATCTCGAAAATTATGAACAAACGAAATATTATAATAAATACTTACGTATATCTAGAAATATTCTGCAAATATTTCATTAAAATGCACAATTGGTTGATAAACAANTCATGTTTACAAGCTGCGTGACTGTCGAGCTTAGGCAACCAACATTACAGGTTGGTACTGGTAACGAAAATTCCCTAAATCTTGGTGACGCCAATATTAATGGTTCGTTTACAATGAACAATGACAAACCATTACATCTATGCTCGAGATGATGTGATTGCTGATTGGCTGAATAGAATCTTGTGTAAAATTACACCAATCTCTAGATGGCTAAACATATGTTGTGTTTCATAGTAATCTTGATCTTATTGTTTTAATTACACAGAGCAAAAAAATTTGACGAAAGATCACACCCAAAAACCAAACCTCACGTGCCCAAAGGTTTTTGCTGCGCAGAATACAAATCCGGCGTCAGAATTGCACCTATACGTCACGTTTCCGAGGTATCCTAACCTAAAAGTGCAAAAAACAGGTTTTTGAGCTTATATCAGAGAATTTTTTTTTCTAAAAACGAATCATGCCCTCTAAAACTACCACGCTTGCCTTCAAAACGCTTTGTTCATAATTGAATCTTTTCTATTCGCCGAGATATCATTGAATGAAGCTTGAATTAAATTGGCCCTAACTTTTTTGCTACCCTGTACATTGGCGTTTCGTATTAGTGCGTTTAATCAATCAATTTTAAGCAAAAGAGGTTTTGTGCTGAATTTTGAATCACCCCTGTTAGTACCTATACAAACATTTTTGGACTTCTCCTATACTATCATTAACAAATGAATGCCAAAAACTGTAGAATTAAAGTCAACTGTATTTTTTTAATAAAACACCCTGTACATTTTTATATATTTTGATAAGCGTTCTCTAAATGAATTATAATGATGTGAGTAGAGTTCTGACCAAGTTCGTTTTTTTTTAAACAATCGAACAGACCAAAATATGACCAAAATCAGTTCCCCCCTTTCCGATCTAACCTAGCTTAATATCGTGATTAGTAAGTGGAACAAAACATAACCTACAAATAATAATCATGAATCTAAATAATAAAAATAAGCCGTTGATAATGGATATGGATTCATCCGAAGAAGATATTGGCAGCAGATTGAAGATGATCGACAACAACAACCTAATTAAACTCAAATTGAACAGTAAAAATTTAAAATAGAGTAAATGTGTGTTTTGTTTAACCTAAAATTAGTTCAAATCACGGTCACTTTGTCACTTCTAGTTTGGTCAATTTGACCACTCATACCGATGGCGCATGATAGCACTTTAGAGTTAGAAACTTTACAAATAACTATTATAGTTCTCTATAATAGAGTATTCTATAAAACGAAAAATATGCTGACGAATGGTAACCATTTTTTACCAAATTAAAATATATAAGAGATAACGCATTTCTGTGAACCTACAGAAACAAAGAAACAAGAAACGCACTTTTGAATAAAATTGTGTGAAAATAGTAAAATGAAATTGACATTTTATTTTTCAAAAAAAACTATTGGAGCTTTACTGATATATACTCGTATATTTACTTAAATAATTTTATTTCTGCAAATATTGTTTGATTCGATTACAGTCCTGTTAATTTTTTATTCCTTGGAGATAAATATTATTATATATCTATCAAAATTGGGATTAAAGTGAATGGACCGTAAAAAATAAGTAGACCGAAACCATGCACTTTTAACTGAAGACGCCTACATTTTTAAGAACTGGGGATTTCAGACAATGTATTTTTTTAAATTCATTAGTACGTTTTGTAAAATAAACCTCATGCCATAATTGTGTGAACTGGTATATACAGAATGTTGAATGAGGGATACGACTTCTTAAATTTATTGTAACATAAAATATTTATTAGCTTTACTTTTGATCTTGAAAAAAACCTATGGTACCACCACAAAAGAAATAGTATGAAGTTTCTTAATAGACACGAGTAATTAAATAGATACTACTACTACTAAAAATGGTATGTAAATTTATGAAATAATAACTTTGAAATCCTGGTTATAAATTCTGCCACTCGATGAAATTAAACCACATCATGTGACATTGCACAAATTGCTCTATATTTCGGTTGAAACAGAAAAGTAAGGTTCTCTGTATATTTTCAATGACCAAATCTGATCTACATTCATCGCCCACAGAACAAGTTGTCTTAATTTCACTTTAAAATCAGTCTCGACTGGCTTGAATTTGAATATAAACACGTAAAAATAACTGTTCTTAATCGACTGATCTCCAAATTTTATACGTTTTTATTTGGGTTATAAGAGAATTTTAATGCATCGAATACAAATTTACGTGGAATTTCCATTGTACAAAGTGTTCCACGAAGAGGTGCCCATTCGACAAATTTAAACTTTTTAATTCACCTTTTAATTAATTTTCACTGAAAACTAATTAACATCAAAATCCTTTACTAAGAACATCTTTTGTATATGGAGAAACCTCTATTCCTTGTAAAATCTGAAAAAATTGTATTAAATTAACTCGTCAATTATTTTTTTGTTACTTGGCAAAATTAACATATAAAAGACTTGATAATTACAGTGGGAGTCAAAGAAGCAAATAAAAACAATTTCTATCAGCAACTCTCTTTATTAGAAAGTGACGTTTAATTAAGTAGGCTTACGAAGAGTGACCTTAAATAATGAATTGTACACAGCACGTTCCAGATTTAATTTCACTGAATCCAGTGCGAATTATAGCAGCAGTTTCACTACACTAATCTTCAAGTTATCTTACTATTGCAATACGTATTTTTCAGATGGTGGTAGGACTGGTAGGTATGCAATAAACAATCATTAATATGTGCGATGTACAGAATGTTTAAAATTGGATGTGACAACATTAACAGAAGTAATTTTTATAAACAATTTGTCTCTTATATTAATTACTATATTTATTTAAACTTTCATGCATTTATTTTCTTGAAAAATTTAAATGGAAATTTGGAAACGATCTTTTTATATAAGCAAAAGGATACGAAGTTAAATCAAATAAATTCATTTTTTTATCATAGATCCTATCTAATGAAGTCAAATAACGTCCTTCTTGTCTATGAGGTGAGATATCTTATATTTACAGCAAAATTTGATAATCTGACCGCCTTTTATAAAACGTCTACACAACACCCTGTACACGGCCGGATATCAGTTGCGGCGGAGCTCAGCGCTCTGCCTACTGCAATGAAGAAGGTAAATCGAAAAGACAGTAGAGAATCGCCTAGGAAGTGTCACGAAGGTGCCGAAGAAGGAAAAGACGGGCAGTTTTAGTGTGCCAGTTTTCACACGCGGGTCGCAAGATGCACAGGCTGTGTTTTGTTTTGGTGCTCGGCTGTCTGCACCGTCATGCATACTCGAGATTTATCTTGCCGTACGTGCCCGACGTGGTTCATCCTCCAGTGCCGGACCATGGTGAGTGGCGAGAAAATTAGCTTTGCAAGTAGATAGTCTGAAAACAAAGATTATTAATTAAAATTTGCAATAAGTAATAATTAACATAATTAATTAATCAACAAGTTATACAGGATGTTAGTGTACGGAATGACAGTACCGATAGTTGTTTTTAATGTAATATTCTTGAGAATGGAAGAAAACCGCAACCCCCACAATGCCTATGTCGGTGAATTGAGAATTTGATTTTTTATAATATGGTGCAAAAAATACAGGGTGTTCCATTTCAATTTAAAAAGTGTTGTCGATTTTAAGTTTTCAAAATGTAAAAAATAGGATACCTACCTAGTATAATTTTCGTCAGGTATCTTATGTTCTTTATGTGCTCCGAAAGGCAAGTGAAAGCTTCCAAAGCGAAGAAAGATATAAATAAATTTCGAAACGCTTGCATGTCAAAATTTTTATATAATGTCGATTTTCTCGAAAACGGTTAGACTTAGGTACAGGAAAGCTTTAACATTTTTGACTTATTTTTAATTTATCTTATTTTCTTTCTGTTTGTTACAATAGTTGTCGTTTTGAATCATACCTGCACAATCTTTAAAGGGCTATTTTTTGAGTGACTTTTAACCAAAAATGTAAACATGGGTCAGCAAACCGATAGTTTGTGAGACAAACGGTGATGAAATAAAAAAGAATCGCATATAAATACGACTTGCTTGCACTGAAAATCACAAAAATTCTATGCCAGTAAATATTTTGAAAATTCTACCACTAGTTTTTACGGTTTTCTTATGTATAAGTTGGCGATGAAAGTTAGTAGAGAACACCCNTAGTTTTTTCAAAAAACAAACGAGGTCAGGTAGGTTTTTTATTTTATTTTTAGTATTTGACATTTTACGCAGTGTAATATAAGCCAGAATGATAATTATCATGGAAACATGGGAAGTAGACGTTTTTTAAGCATCTAGCATGTCGTGTAAATGTTATGTTTTTACAGGCGCATTTTGTTTTCAAAATATCGACGTTGAAGCAAATTTCGTTAATATTTTGAAAGATTGTTCTTTCATCACATAGTTTCGACGTATATTTACTTAAGTAACTTTATTTCTGCAAATATTGTCTGTGATTCGATTACAGTCCTGTTAATTTTTTTATTCCTTGGAGATAAATATTATTATATATCTACCAAAATTGGGATTAAAGTGAATGGACCGTAAAAAATAAGTAGACCGAAACCATGCACTTTTAACTGAAGACGTCTACATTTTTAAGAACTGGGGATTTCAGACAATGTATTTTTTTAAATTCATTAGTACGTTTTGTAAAATAAACCTCATGCCATAATTGTGTGAACTGGTATATACAGAATGTTGAATGAGGGATACGACTTCTTAAATTTCTTGTAACTTATAAAATATATTAGCTTTGCTTTTGATCTTGAAAAAAACCTATGGTACCACCACAAAAGAAATAGTATGAAGTTTCTTAATAGACACGAGTAATTAAATAGATACTACTACTACTAAAAATGGTATGTAAATTTATGAAATAATAACTTTGAAATCCTGGTTATAAATTCTGCCACTCGATGAAATTAAACCACATCATGTGACATTGCACAAATTGCTCTATATTTCGGTTGAAACAGAAAAGTAAGGTTCTCTGTATATTTTCAATGACCAAATCTGATCTACATTCATCGCCCACAGAACAAGTTGTCTTAATTTCACTTTAAAATCAGTCTCGACTGGCTTGAATTTGAATATAAACACGTAAAAATAACTGTTCTTAATCGACTGATCTCCAAATTTTATACGTTTTTATTTGGGTTATAAGAGAATTTTAATGCATCGAATACAAATTTACGTGGAATTTCCATTGTACAAAGTGTTCCACGAAGAGGTGCCCATTCGACAAATTTAAACTTTTTAATTCACCTTTTAATTAATTTTCACTGAAAACTAATTAACATCAAAATCCTTTACTAAGAACATCTTTTGTATATGGAGAAACCTCTATTCCTTGTAAAATCTGAAAAAATTGTATTAAATTAACTCGTCAATTATTTTTTTGTTACTTGTCACGGCAAAATTAACACATAAAAGACTTGATAATTACAGTGGGAGTCAAAGAAGCAAATAAAAACAATTTCTATCAGCAACTCTCTTTATTAGAAAGTGACGTTTAATTAAGTAGGCTCACGAAGAGTGACCTTAAATAATGAATTGTACACAGCACGTTCCAGATTTAATTTCACTGAATGCAGTGCGAATTATAGCAGCAGTTTCACTACACTAATCTTCAAGTTATCTTACTATTGCAATACGTATTTTTCAGATGGTGGTAGGACTGGTAGGTATGCAATAAACAATCATTAATATGTGCGATGTACAGAATGTTTAAAATTGGATGTGACAACATTAACAGAAGTAATTTTTATAAACAATTTGTCTCTTTTATTAATTACTGTATTTATTTACAAAACTTTCGTGCATTTTCCTCAAAAATTATTTTCCTGAAAAATTTAAATGGAAATTTGGAAACGATCTTTTTATATAAGCAAAAGGATACGAAGTTAAATCAAATAAATTCATTTTTTTATCATAGATCCTATCTAATGAAGTCAAATAACGTCCTTCTTGTCTATGAGGTGAGATATCTTATATTTACAGCAAAATTTGATAATCTGACCGCCTTTTATAAAACGTCTACACAACACCCTGTACACGGCCGGATATCAGTTGCGGCGGAGCTCAGCGCTCTGCCTACTGCAATGAAGAAGGTAAATCGAAAAGACAGTAGAGAATCGCCTAGGAAGTGTCACGAAGGTGCCGAAGAAGGAAAAGACGGGCAGTTTTAGTGTGCCAGTTTTCACACGCGGGTCGCAAGATGCACAGGCTGTGTTTTGTTTTGGTGCTCGGCTGTCTGCACCGTCATGCATACTCGAGATTTATCTTGCCGTACGTGCCCGACGTGGTTCATCCTCCAGTGCCGGACCATGGTGAGTGGCGAGAAAATTAGCTTTGCAAGTAGATAGTCTGAAAACAAAGATTATTAATTAAAATTTGCAATAAGTAATAATTAAAGCAATATAACTCAACAAGTTATACAGGATGTTAGTGTACGGAATGACAATACCGATAGTTGTTTTTCAAGTCACATTTGATAATATTTTTAATCTAATATTCTTGAGAATGGAAGAAAACCGCAACCCCCAGAATGCCTATGTCGGTGAATGGAGAATTTGATTATTTATAATAAGGTGCAAAAAATACAGGGTGTTCCATTTGAATTTAAAAAGTGTTGTTGGTTTTAAGTTTTCAAAATGTAAAAAATTGGATACCTACGTCAGGTAATTGTGAAGTGAAATTTAATGTATCTTATGTTCTTTATGTGCTCCGAAAGGCAAGTGAAAGCTTCCAAAGCGAAGAAAGATATAAAAAAATTTCGGAACGCTTGCATCTGTTAAAATTTTCATAAAATGTCGATTATCTCGAAAATGGTTAGATTTAGTTACACGGAAGCTTTAACATTTTTGACTTATTTTTAATTTATCTTATTTTCTTTCTGTTTGTTACAATACTTGTCGTTTTGAATAACACCTGCACAGTCTTTAAAGGATTATTTTTTGAGTGATTTTAAACCGAAAATGTTATGTAAACATAGGTCAGCAAACCGATAGTTTGTGAGACAGACGGTTTTGAATAAAAAAAGAATCGCATATAAATACGACTTGTTTGCACTGAAAATCACAAAAATTCGATGCCAGTAAATATTTTGAAAATTCTACCACTAGTTTTTACGGTTTTCTTATGTAGAAGTTGGCGATGAAAGTTAGTAGAGAACACCCTGTATATATTTATTTATTTTATATTAAAATATATTTATTTTCTTGAGAATTGGATTCTGGTGTGATAGTCAGTTAAAAATAGGATAAAAAAACAGCAGCGATTTTTTTTTCGACGTTTCGTCCCTGATCAGGAACTTTTTCAAAAGGCTTTTATTGTTAAAATTGTTATAATTAATAAACTAAAACCAAAACAACAACCATTTTACGTTAAAATTTTAAAAACATGCGTCAATCGTCATACAGTGGACATATTTTCACAATACTGTATGACGATTGATGCATGTTTTTAAAATTTTAACGTAAAATGGTTGTTGTTTGGGTTTTAATTTATTAATTATAACAATTTTAACAATAAAAGCCTTTTGAAAAAGTTCCTGATCAGGAACGAAACATCAAGAAAGAAATCGCTGCTGTTTTTTTATCCTTTTTTTAACCGATTATCACACCAGAACCCAATTCCCAAGAAAATAAATATATTTTAATATTAAACAAAAGGTTCAAGTAGATTTCAATATTTTTATTTATTTTATTATACATGTTTTTAATTTTTCATTTACTGTCTTGAAATGGAATAAAAAATGGCTTTTTAAATTATTAAACACAAACGTCAACTGCTATATTTTATTAAAACTAAAATCTCACAAGTGGGCTCTTAAAAATGGAATAAATTTCTTATTTTTTAAAATCAAGATTTTTTAAGCGTAAAATATTCAGTCTTTGTTTAAATTTTATAAATAGTAACTAATTTATAAGAAACCCAAATTTTATATATGCTACTTTCACCAGCTGACAGTTTCAGTAAAAATACAAATTAAAATCTTTAAAAATGTTCCACTCAGATCGACAAATTTATGTCAATTCTCTTCATGTGTATTTATTGAACTAGTTTCTCCAGTGTCAAATAGTTTGTCACAATTCCATTAACTTGGAAGAATAATAAATCGTTTTAAAGGTGTGTGGATGAAAGTCCCAATTGAATAAATTTTTAATAGCATGTTTGTTTTATATTTTCAACGCTGACAGCAGCAGCAATAAAGATATAAAAAGTATGTTGTATCGCCTACATACAAGATCATGCAAATTATATACCCAGTAATCCAGTTTTTCACATGTTAATACATTCATAAATAATTTTGTTAAACAGCCAGCAGCTAATTATCCACATATCGTAGAAAACACAAGGCAGTTAAATAAATTTGCCAACAAATGGATATTTGAAAAAAATTGTGAACATTTCACATTATTAGTGGGATTTGAACCAGCTGCAAAATAACCAAATATTTGACATCTTAAATTAGATGCGTACATAAACAAGAAACAAATTATACTGAAGTTGTATTCGCGTAGAAAGATTCTCAGCAAATTATAACTTCTTGCCATATTTCTAATAATTTTTATCCTCATTAAAAGCGAAAAAGAACACATTGTGTCCTAATTATATCCTTATTTCGTTTAAGTTATCAACGCATCAAGCGAATTGGGTGAAGAAGCTTTTGATCCCGAGCTTTCCCCTGGTCTATTTCAAGGCGACATGGCTTTGACTAATGAATTTTACAACTTTTGGAGAGTAGGCATTAGATGGGACGTTTTTCCAGAGAAATTATGGGAGAACGGAACAGTACCATACGTTATAAGTCCTCTCTATGGTAAGTTTTTGTAGGAATTAAGTATTCCATAAAATGCAACAAGCTTATGGTACAATTACTTTGAAAATAAATAATTTATGTGCGTTTAAATTTAAATGATGTTGTCAGCAATGTAACAAGCTTCTCTATCATGTGAGGAAGGTTGTTCTAGGCTTAGTCCTGTCTTCTGTCGATGGGTTTTGGGTATTAAGTAGATTTTCTTCAGAAAGTATCTGCTATCTTGCTCATCGTATTGGATGTACCTATAAAAAAAATCATTAATCTCAATCGTGTCTAAAATTTGTAATAAATTGAAAAAATCCATTACAAATACATTTTAAAGCACATTTTTACATTTAAATATCAGTATTCTTAATATTATTTTGCGTTGAAGACTGAAATACAGAATGTGTCTGCCAAATAGTCGCAAATAAGTCCGGAAAGTAGAATTTTAGAAGAAAATAATAACTTTTTTGTCTATATAACAGAACCGAAACAGATTTCCGGGAGGCTTCATGTATTATCAGTGAAAATAAGTTTCGTATTATTACATTCTTATTTAACGCAGCAGATATTGATATTATCGAACTACATCCTCATTACTTCTTTGAAACAGAGCCGTCAGACCTAGCCACGATCATCAAAGCCATCCGTACGTTGAACTTCATGACTTGCGTCAGGTTTGTACCATGGAACGGTAAGAGCAAGGATTACCTCCTCATATGGCCGATAAAGTACCCAAAAGGATGCTGGTCTTTCGTTGGGCGCTTCGGTGGAGCCCAAATAGTGAGTTTGCAGGCTCCCGATAAAAGAGGACCGAATTGTCTTGGCACCGAAGGGCGGGCTATCCACGAGCTGATGCACGCCTTGGGTGTCTTCCATGAACAGTCCAGGTGGGACAGGGACAAATTCGTCAAAATACACACTGAAAATATTATACCCCGTGAGTAAAATCAATACGTTGTCCAACATTGTTAACATTATTTGCATGCATTTTTTTATGAGTTTGCTCTGTAATAAGTCTTCTGTAGTTCCTTAAAATTAATGAATCACAGACTATGTTTCCTTTCAGAGTATAAATCGAATTTCGACAAGCAGAGTTTGGATAACACCACCTACAGCTTCGAATACGACTACGACTCTATCATGCATTACGGCAAATACTTCTTCAGCAAGAAAAAGGGAAAACCTACGATTACAGCCAAACAGCCCGGTGTGACAACTCTGGGACAGAGGAAAGCTATGTCCAAAGGAGACTGCTTGAAACTCAACGACCTGTATGGTTGTTTCAAGAACCCGAGAAGGAGAAGAAAGTACTACAACATATGCAATTTTATGGGCTTGTAAAATATAGTTTCTCGTTTGTTTTTTATATTTTTATTTAAATAAATTATTTATTGTTACATACATACCGATCATTTAATCAGCAGTAGGTATAAGCAAAGACAAATAATTCTGTTCTGCTGAAAAGAGATACAAAAATACACAAACCAATAGTAAACAGACAAGATTCGATCTTTTTGATACAATAAATTGAAATTGTAGTTAAAAAAACACCATGTACATAGAAAATAACAAGACAGTTGCGTTATCGACGCGCTGTTGCCATGGGAGCGGCATTTTATTGACAAGAAGTGATTGTACAATCTGTCACATTAATTCTGCCACTGTTGTAAAATGTCGATGTTCAAGTCCATTCCAGTGTCTTACCCTAAGAGAAGGAAAAAGAAAGATGAATTCGTCATCAATGAAATTCAAGAGCCTATTAGAAAGACCATGTACGATATCGCCATGGAAAATTTTCGGGCTTTAAAGAGAGTAAGTAGGAACTGAAAGTATCATTGCTAAGTAGGTACCTCACCCTGTTGTACATAAAAATCTAATAATTTACAAGTTTAATAAACCGATTTGATGTTATTTTAAATTCGACTTCCACCTTATACATAATGCATGTTTTTGTAGGTCACTTATATGCACCGGGTCATATACGCTGGGGAGCATTTCTTTCAAAAAGACGAAAGTGAACTGGAAAGGTTCTTTAAAAGAATCATCGACACAGTAAATGACTCGTACACCTCTGAACATCTAACCGGCTTCTTGTTGTGTTACACAAAGTACTTTATCCACTTGGTGGAGGTATGTCAGCCAAAATTATTTTATTGGAATGACAGCAACATACTTATGTTGTAGACAAGTTGAAGCTTTGACAAATAGACTAGGCGATATCTGTTTCGGGTTTGTTGAATCGTATATCCACGGAGATTTTTGGCCCTTTGGCTTTCAAATATCACTAAAAATGAACATTTTTCTATGCGCATAAAAAAAAACGTGGGCTTAACTTTTAGCGGCACAATATGTTAATGAAATTCGAAAAATATCTTAATTTTCTTCCTATTTAATTATGTATCTTTTTAAGAGTTGATTTTAGGCGAAAATGGAAGAGGAAATAAATATTTGTAATTAAATTTTACAAAATATGACTTAGTTACAAATCGAATGAATCATGATTATTATTGTAAAAATCGAAAAAATCCTCAAAAATGGGGTTAAAAACGTTACTTTTTAGGGAATTTTTTTGGGGTTTTTAAGTTGGGTATAGGACCTTCATACTTGGCTCAAGAAAACTTCATGTTATGCGGAATCATCACACCAAATTTCATCAAAATCGGTTCTATAGATTTTGCATAATAATTTTGCAATCCAGATTAAAAAAAAATTGCAATTTTCAAAATTTTACACAGCAAAAACCAAGGCCCTTAGATACTTATAGATATAGATAATTTAATAACATATAGAAGGGCCCTCAGGCTTTCAAACTTTTTTTGAAAAATTCGAATCCGTCAATTAGGAGAGCTCTGACGCTTGTTTAAACATTGGTCGAATTTTTGTACTTATAAACAATTAGAATAACTTTGTGAATATTCAATCAAATCAAATTTTTTAAAGCAGGTTTTAAAAGTTCTTGGAAAGACGCTTCTTTTCAAAAAACAGATCGATTGGTCAATTAGTTACGTAGTTATAGCCGATCAAAGTTAACCGTCATTTACACTAAA